ACAAAATTCTGGCCGAAGGACAAGAGTGGAAGTGAAGTGAACCATCTCAGGCTGTGCGCTCTTCCCCTTCATCAGCTACAATCCACATGTGGTGGTGACCCAGCTTAGATCACACACACAGTGACAGTGTCCTGGGGAATGGCTCCATGGAGCAGAGATGCCCTGCCAACCTGGGCTGCTTGCTTTGGAACAGTTAAGTGAAAGAGAAATAAACTTTTTGTTAAACGGTTTAACTATTAAAACTGTACTGTCCATTCTTGTTGGGTCAAGTTGTCTTCTAAATCAGCATAGCCAGCTCTTTGCAAACTACCACATCAATAAATTAGCCACTATCAATAAAATGAAAAGGTAATTAAAAAATCTATCAGAGAACTTTATTTTTAAAAGTTCAACATACATCTTAAATCTCTTCTTTGTCCTGGAATTCTGTTTAAGCAATTCCTGAGGTTTCTGTTTCAAGCGTCCACTGTTTGAGGCATGAGCATGATTTAGATTTAAAGTAAAAAACATAATTGTTTACTTCCCCTAGGTTTGACACTTTTCAGCAAAATGGCAAAGGTAGTAAAGTGACAGCTAACGAAGAACTTCCTGTCTGTATATTCTTTCTCTTCTTTCATTCTTATTACATCACCTGTATAGCTCATATTTCACTGTAAGAAACAAAAAGTGTGAATGTTTCCTGTTTGTCATTAGAACTGAGAGCCTTATTTAAGTTTATTTTACAAATTGGCTGCAGAGGTGTTACATGACACATAGGTATAAATTCCCTTCACTGTTACCTGTTTTGTACAGCACCTTTTCGGACTCTGATAAGCTAAGAAATACAACTCCATTGTCCAGTCCTAAAATTATTCGGGCAACTTGTAAGTGGAACATTTGTTTAAATGCAATCATTACTTCCAGCGTACATGACTGAAGCTACCTCTCTATATATTGCCAATCTACTTGGCAACAACTCTTGCAAAAATCATTCCAGTTCAAAGTATAAAATGCTGGAGGGGGAGGTATCCTACTTTAACTACTTTAAAATATAAAATGTACATATCCCACTAGAATGTTTTCAGTTTGTCAGCATATTAATGCAGCTTGTCTACTAAATCTATTCAACCCTTCTAATCAATATAAGGGAAAAATGCTTTACTCTCATGGAGAGGGCCAAGATGAGACTAACTTATTTACTCAAATGTAGACATTATACGCATTTGATTAAAAAGTAGTTGGGGGAGGAAATTCAAAAGAGAGCAGTCATATTTGTACTGGACCTGCCTATGTGCACTGTTAATTCGGAGTCTTCAATGAAAACCTGATATTTGAATTACCTCATAATTAGCCTGTCTTGGTAGACTGGAAAACTAAATACAAAAAGGCATAAGCAAAAGGAAGACAGATACATATATCCAGCAGGTACATACATACTATAAAGGATTACATATGGCAAAGAGGAAGCAAAATATTAACCAGGCAATGACAAATCAACTCCAAGTTTGAAATTGTTTTAACATGCCACTGCATGCATTCTAAAGTCCCTTAATCAGATAAATTCAACATTTACAGGATGCAAAAAAGAAGAGAAAGATGAAGGCAAAAAAAAACCTCTCTGGTTGGACAAAATCTATAGCACATGACTCATAGCTGAGCATCCTGGAAACCCACTTCCTATTATCTTAGAGTCAGTTGTGACAAGCATATTTGCTGGTGTCTCTGACTCAAGAGAGGAAATCATAATGTGGAATCAAGGCTGAACAATCAGAATGTGAGGGAGGAGACGGGAAAGTATAAAACGCCAAGATAAAAGTCCCTGCACTCTGGGATCCTTTAAAGTAAAGGGATTGTCAACTTGTAAGTGGAACTCAGCAATCTATCAAGAACTGAAGGCCATGTGACCATGCCATCATGACAGCCCTAATGCACTGAGGGAAGATTAAACTGTAGTTATTTTATGAAGGCAAATAAGTGCACCATAGAGAATTTTATAAAAAACAGTCATTTTTTGTTTTTTATTTTACATATAAAAGGACTGTTGGATTATTTATTCACTTGTGAGCAACCAAGCTAAATAAGCTTTTACCACAAGTAATCTGATAATAGTGAATGATGTCTCTGATCTTTACTCATAGAATAATTGTCACTGACCTAATTTACAGTAAGAGAAAATACACTGTTTTTCCCCAATAGACGTTTGATCTGATTTATGCTATTTGCCCAAGCCCATTGACCAGCTGTGTATGCAGCCAGTACTATTGAACACAACACTTCTAAAACATGGTTGAAATTTAGCCATTTTCTTCCCAACCAGGCTATAGAAAGAAAACATAGCAAAAATACGAATTGAGTAGACTGGACTTAGGATGGATGTAACTCCTAAGGCAAGTCAGAGTTAAGTCCCTCTGAACAAGGCAACAGTTCCACTTTTAAATATTTTTTCTTGGTTCAGTTCTCAAGATGTTTGGAAAGTGACACAAAGATAAAACTAATGAATTCTAATTTTTGGTTTCAAAACCTAATTTTCCATTATAGAATTCAATACTTTAATGTCTTCTTATAATACTATTTCAGTTTAAAATGCTCAGCATTACTCCGTCAATAATTCCCAGTAATTTTAGAGTCAGATCATTTTTATTTAATCTCACATCCACCAACTATTTGTCAAAGCTCACATTTCCCTTCAATTCATTCCTTCATTTAACAAATATTTACTGAGCATCTGCTCTGTTAGGTACTTGGTTGGAATCCACGGAGTCAACGGGGCACATAATGTATATAGTCTATGCCTATTGGGCTTAGTTTATTTGGAGAATGAGACAATTAAATACCACCTGGTTTCTCAGTACGTCTTTGAGATGGACACTCTAGGGATGTCAAAAAAAATGTCTGGACTTATGATTTCATGTGATAAGTAACTGTTAAGTGTGAACATGTTATACATTTGAAGAATAAATACATTCTTGAATTTTTACAGTACATTAACTTACCTATCAAACTATCAGATGTCCAAAGGTTTAAAATCTATTTTCCTTCTCTAATGCTTTGCCCTCCATACAAGTACTATGGTAACATTTTAGAGTTTAATTTTCATCTTTTAGG